AAAAAAAAAAAAAAAAAAAAAAAAAAAAAGCTGGAGATGTGGAGATGTAGCTGAACATGAAGGTCCTGAGTTTGATCCCCAATACTAAGAAAAAACTAACTTTGGTCTTTTGGGAGCCAAACATTCATCACCTCTTCCTCAGCAATTTCTTTCAGAAGGACAAGTTGTCTAGACTCATTAAAGTTTGTCTTGGGCAAAAACCCTGGGAGCTGAGATCTCCGGATTGGCTGCATTCTACCTATGTCACTGTGAGAATCTATTATGAGATGCGAAATGGCCAGTGAAGGGCACAGCTGAGCGCACTCCTCCAGCAAGAACACAAGTCAATGTGCAGGAATAAGAAAGATCCTTCCTGGGATTCATCCACACATCTAACAGCTTTGTATTCCATTCCATTAAATTGTTATATAAATTACTTTGTAATGAGATGTTCTTCACTCACCTTTAAAGCTTTGCAAAACCAGGGGCTATCTTTTTTACAAGTAGCTTACCACAGCAAACTCTGAAGTCAACTCTCTGGGTTTTACTCAGCTCTACCACATAACTCTATATCCTTGGATAATCACCCCACACCTCCATCTTCTGTTTGATAAATGCAGTGCATAAAGGAGTTGTCATGAGAATGTAACAGATGCTCAGTAAATACTACCATCAGCAACAGAACACTTAGAATCCCATAGAGAGTAAGTTCATCACATGGATGTATGGAGTCCAAGTCTCTTTATCTTGGTAACTCCTGGTCTTCATCTCTTTCTTCGTGAATTTCATTTAACACAGTTTGAAAACTACTGCTCTCATCCAAAACAATCCTTTTAGGCCAACTGTAGAGAAGAAAGCATGTCCTAAGAAGGCAAGGCAAGGAGAGGGAGTGGCTAGCAAATCCTCCTCGTGCCCACTAGTGTATATTTAAAATTCAGTTCTCTTTCTACAAAAATGGTGAATGATGTTATAATCTTCCACTACGCTGGACTCTTAACAACCAAGAGCATCAAATACACCAAGCCTATGGGCCAGGAGTTGACAAAATTTATAGGTAAAAATCCAGAAAGTGGGTATTTTAGGATCTCTGGGCCATAGAGTCTCTGTTGAAATCATTCAGCTCTGTTGTAGCATGGGAACAGCCACAGACCATGTGTAAATGAACAAGCGTAGCTGTGTTGCAATGAAATTTTATTTATAAATATAGGCTATAGGCTAGTTCTGCCCTGTGGACCATGGTTTGCAGACTTCTTCCATGGACTGTGATGTGCTATTTGTAAGAATCTTATGTTTGTGTATTATTGTACAGTTCTAAAACAACACAGTATGTGGAGGTCAGGGCTGCAGTATCTCTTTTAAGGTACCATGTTCTGGCTTTACTATACACTGTTTTCTTCCTAGAAGCCCTTGAGTTACATGTCATGTTAGTATGCGTGGAATAGGCAGATATTTTCCAGCAGGTTCTGGTAGTAACGTTAGTTGCCATAAGGATCATGGTAAGGTTGAGGAATTGGGTTAAGCAGAGTTCACAATGATGATTAATTCAGCCACACTTTGGAAATCATGCAGAACAGAAGTGTAGATTCATAGAGACCTCAAAACCTGACCATTTCCATTTACAGGGGGTTAAATTGAGTCTCAGACTAGTAGAATGACTTATCAGCATTAACCTAAGTTATCAGCACAATTCTGGCCAGGCCATGGTTTTCTTAAATTAATTCAAGCTTCTTTCTGCTGGACCACTATGCTAGCATCAAGCTTTACATTGTGAACCACATTAAAATCAACAGAGGAGAGAAAAACAATCTTCTGCTGTTTAAAAACCCGAAGCATGGTCTAGAAACTCCTGGGCCCTTCCTCCTTTGGCATCTTCCTTTTTTTTTTCCCCCTAACCACAAACGTTAGTAGAGACTCTATTGTGTAGCTCAGCTAAGCTGTGGTGCCAAGAGATAGTAAGTGCTCAATAAACATGTGTTGGGAGAGCAATAAAAGGTAAGTGATGCATTGGGTCTGCCTTCATGAAGCTCAATGTACTGGGAGAAAGATTGTCTAAAGGCACCACGGTAAGGCCCTGCAGATGCAAGGATGCCTTGACATCTCCTCCTCTTTAGTCCTCCTAGAAAACTGCCTTTCAGTGAGAAATCTTCCCACCGAGGTTTTCATCCCCACTCTAGCTGCCCCTTCCCTTTTCAGATGGAGCACCTCTGTCTTTTGTACTTGCAAATGAATTGTGATTAGTTTTCACCTCCAGCCCAGGGGATTAGCCGGGGGACCTTTGATCTTCAGGTATCGATTTGCATCTTAAAGGAAGTATGATCTCATCTGGGCCAGCTCAAAATTCCATCCCTGCCCCCAACCCCTGTCTGTTTACCAGCCCCGGGCTGGCCAAGGCCTCCCAAGTGGGGCTGAAATAACAAGATCCACCAGACTGAGCTGAGAAGGCAGAGGAAAACACATTTCCCATCTGACTCTGTAAAGGTGGGAAAAGGACGTTTGCTTTCTAAACACAGCCTGCTCTGCTGTTTTTCTTTTTTCAGATCTCAGAGACTGCCCCTCGTTTTGAGTCTGCGCCGAGGAGGATCGTGGCAGTCTCTGGATCCAGGGTCGAGGTTGTACAGCAGAATGGATTGAGTACAAACTTGAGAATCAGACACAATCAAGTTCAAGTCCCAGTTCTGTGTTCAATCACTTCTGACCTGTTTGCTCTTGACAAGTTTTGTGATCTTCCTGCCTTCTGATCTGTCTTATCTTTAAAGAATGAAAGCCTTGTATATCTAAAGCAACTGTCATCTTGGACAGTTGGTGTGAAGAAAACCAATCGTATCTATAAGGTACTACTTGATTTAAAGAAAAAAAATGGTACCTGTCATAGTCATTATCTATAAGAATAAAGTTGTACCGCTTTTGTTTTGCTTTGTTTATTTTTTCAAATGCTGTATTTGCTGGTGCCTAAAACAGTGCCTCGCAGATAGGAGGCACTCAAGAAATGTGAAAGCATCATTTAGTCATAACTATTACTGTTACTGTACTCCATCCACCAGTTAGGCCCAGAGACATGGCAGAGACTTACCAATGCAGTTGAAAGAAACTTCTCGTTGGCAGAAAAGGGAGCAGCCATCACCATTGATCTTATTCATGTCATCACATTCCTCCCCTTGGCCTCTGCACAATGGATATGGAAGAGAAATTTTCCAGATCAGTGTCAGAACTGGGCGGGACAGGCACAAGTCTCACGAACCTTGCCTGAGACCTCACGCAGGTCCTTTCCCTTAAGCAGTCTGTTTCTTCATCTTCAAAATGAGTCTTACAAAAGGTGTAGGTTTATAAAATACAACTTCCTTTGCTTTATTTTGTGTTTCTGATGACAAAGTAGAGCCTAACTACAAAGTCGTTCTTCAAAATCTCAAGTCAACAAGTTTACAAGTCAGTGGGAGTAAGAAGCGGATGAATAAATATGAAAACAAATGAACAGATCTTGCTCCCTCAGTGTCTAGGAAACCGCACTGTTATTTTCATGTTTTTGATTCCAAAAGAGTCGATTTGAAGAAAATTTTGAAAGTCCCATAACAAAACGGACTTGCCCCACTATTCTCTACTCGGACACACTCCTTACTCTCAATATACTTAAAGGTAAAGATCTTTCTTCGTGCACACACTCAGGTTCCGTCATCCCTTCAATGGAAAGCTTTACTTTCTCCTCTGGGTGTATCATTTCACTGTGTCAAGAACTCTAGGGCCTGTGGGACTATGTTGCTAAGAAAAAAAAAATAGTTCCCTCTTGTTTTCCTTGGAATTATTTCTATCACCTAAGGATGATTTTGCGGAGGTTGGACTGGACAGAGAATGAGCAACGCTCATTTTCTGAACTGTGCTTAGGTGAGGAAAAGGAGGAGCAAAATCAGAAAGAATGGGTGAATTGTCACTTTCTGAGGCATTGCTCTCACAAAGAGAAAACTTGAACTCAGAACCTCATGCTCCAAACTAACTGGGCAGTGATCTTATGTAAGTCAGTTGGTCTACCTGATCTGTGATATTTAAATTTAAATGAATTGAAAGTAATGTACAGGAACTTAATAACCTAAACAAATGTAAACATTATATGTCATAAACATGAGATAAGATTAATAATATATCAACAAGAACGAAGATGGGAAAAGGGGATGCAGAGGAGAAGGGCAGGAGGAGGGAGGGAAGGGGATTTTAAAACAGAACCAATTGTATTTCGCACATGTACACACACCCCAAGATAAGCGTAACGGAATGCATTGCAAACATGTATTAATTCACAGTGGATACAGTTAATTCCATTTCTCAAACACAACAATAGCCACAAGTCACTACCAGCTACTGCATTGGTTGGAACATTTCCATCACTGTAGAAAAAGCCACTGAACAGTGCTCTTGTAGACACTGAGCCTCACTTTTCTCCTATGTTAAAATGGAGATAATCAGGCCTACCGCATAGGGTTGAATGCTAAATGAGAATGTGACTGTGAGTGGCCGGCACAGTATGTGGAATGTAGTAGGTGCTCCAGGCATCCGAGTTTCCATTCCCACTTTGCCTTGGGAGGTCTCTGCAGAATGTGTGGCAACTGTGCCCCCCCTTGGCCCTCCAGAGCAGCTGGGAACTGTCACAGCATGGAAGAGGTATCAGCCTTTTCCTTTTACCCACGAGATTAACACCAAGAAATGTTTGTTGTTTTTAGGAGGTGTCAGAGTAGCAGGATCGTGCCCCATGATCAATCCTGCAGATGGCCCAGGTTGCACCGATCTCCATGGAGCCACCCAAGCTCTTTCCTGTCTGAACCATGAGCAAAAGGGTTCATATCCCTAGCCTGTCCCAGCACTATTCATCAATCTCTGGTAACCTTCTGCTTCTCAACTATTTCATAGGTTATCCGAGGAGAAATTAAAAAAAAAAAAAAACAGCAATTTAGGCTATTTCCCTAAACCTCAAAGATTATTTCGAACCTGCCTTCCATCCACACCCAAACAGTATGCTCTATGATTTAAGCAAAGCATTAAGGTCACCACAAATATCTTCTAAGCATGGCAGATCTATCATTACATAGAGAGGTTTTGAGAAAACTTCTTTGACCTCTGAGGCTTGAGTGAGTGGCTGCCATCTTCTGTTTTCCCTGACATGTAGCTCCATCTATCACAGCAATTGCCAAACTGATCCTCTTGGCTGTTACTGGAAAGACTCCTGTAGTATTCGGTGAGATGCCAAAGGGAGTGGCAGTCTTCATCCTAGCACCTCAGTGCCCGACATAGTGTCTAGGATCCTAGGATCCAACAGACAGCATCAGCCTCTCCTTTATTTACTAGTTTTGTGGGGCTGTCAAGTCCCACACCAATGCAATGATAAATCCACATGAGAATATTTGCCCTCCCTTCATGACTGGTTGTACTCTTTATGGGTGTGCAAGCTTGAGAAAGCCTCTTTAATCTCTTTGTGTGTCAGCTGTCTTTTCTATAAAATATGATATAGAATACTACCGCATATGGCTATTTGAAGTACTTAAGGAGAAAATAATGTAGCACCAGTGGTTTGTGTATAGTACAGGCTCAGTAAGTGTTGATAAATATTATCATCATAATATTCATTCAGTGCTTTTATCTTTACACTGTATATGAAATGGAGAGAATCAGCTGCTGTGAATCACAATATAGCACTTATCTACTAGGGGCCTCACTGAGTGCTGAGTCTATTCGTTTTTTTGTAAATTCTATTATCTATAGCTAAGATAATATCTTCCTTTTGCCCCAATATTGTCATTTCCCTTGCCTCCTGCCCTCCTTCCCTTTCCCACTACCCATAGGGAACATTCCTTAGGGAACATCCCTAAGCTGCATTCAATCTTATACAAAGTGTGTCAACAAATAAAAGTATATTACTCATTTAAAATTCTGAATTAGTACCTTCCCATTTATAGCTGACACACTTCAGCGGGTGTTAGGGAGCAGAATCTCCTACACACTATTAACTCTCTGTACAGTAACTTGAAAAGCACTTCTTATCTGATCATATTTGCAATTTTCACTATTTCTTTCGATGTGGAATCATAATCAGGAAGTATACTGACGGCCAAGACTATGTCCATGTGGATGGCCATTCGTGTGTAAACTCTTTATGTGCAGAAATGTAACATTTTTGCTCTACACCTAGGAGCTGGTACTTTTAGCCCATAACAGGGGCTTCAGGTTAACATCACATACCACACAATCACCAGTAACAAATTAAATGGCTCTTCCCTTCTAGCGTTAGTGTTAGTGATGACCAGAATAAGCAGTCATCTAGCACTTTTCCTTCATATATGTACTGCACCTAGGAGCTGATTCACACCCTACAGATCAGTGCTTCCATCCAACTGTGAAGCAAATGCTCTTCACACTGCCCCTCCTCTTGCAGACAAAGCAATTCAATTCGATGCTGCATAGATATTATGTGACACCCAGCAGTGCCATTTAATGAAGGAATTTTGCCAATAGCTTGTTTTGCCAGCCCCACACATACTGCTTATCCTTAAATCTGTCAATAGTTTTAAAATCCTTTAGTGACACTGTGACCTGCAAAAATTATGTTAACAACAAGGAACGTGATTTTAGCAATAAGCAACTTAATTTTGAGTGATTGTTGGTCTCTTCTCTGCCTCTAAGGACAAAACTCACAATTTTGGGTCAGTAAAATATTTTGTACTTATTCTGAAAGAGCTCAAAGGTTTCTCTGTTGATTTTTAAAAACAGTACAGAGGTGCAGATGGCTTCTTGCATAATATTTGGCCCAAAGGACAAGGGGATGAATGGACTAATAATCCTTAAGTTGCACATCGTAGGCAGGCACCTTTATATTTTCTGGTCAGAATGGAGGCTGCAAGCTTGACCTTTACTGATTATCTTTGCCTCAGTGTACTCATCCTTGGACTCAATATTCACTGCAGAATTCTGCTTACTACTTAAGTTTTCAACATTATAGAATATTAGATTACTCTGCTATTGCCAGCTTTGGTAGCATTGAAATAGAAAAGTTTGTTATTCTTATGAGCCTTTAACTCACTGTCTAAACTGCAGTTTAACAAATGCAAATGGTGACCAGCAACAAATATTAAAATGTTTTCACCCAAATGGCCTGTGCCCTGTAAAGTGAATGTGGGCTATGGCAGGAAAAAATGAATAGATCAGTTGTGCGCATAAAATAAACAAGGACAAGGGCAAATGGTAAGTGCATAATGGGAGTTCTGCCTAAATCATCTACTGTACTCCGTACTGGGGAACTGTATGGGTTCAGAAGAAGAGTCATCAGTTTCCTTCCAAGGTGAGTAAATTTCCCAAAGGCCAACTGATAAGCTGCTGGCAATCACTGGCACCTCAGACCACACACCAAACATTTCATAAACCCTTCTGTTTAAGCTCCTCGAGCGTCTCTTGGCTTCATCGTCATTGTCCCTCCCTTCCCCTTAGTCTGATCTGCTTACTTCTGGATAACACCGTCGCCACAGTATCCGCTTCCGTGGGTGTAGGTGGCAGCAGGTGATGGCTCACTTTCTTCAGTTCCGGAAATGGTGATGACCCGGTACTGGTACACACCGCCAAGTTTGAGGTCCCTGCAAAATGTGAAGAAGACGGTTAGCCTGGAAATCACAGTGCTAGAGGTAGACAGGAGAGCATGAGGTCTTGGTTCCTTTAAGTACATTCTATCAGACTTGTTTATTTTTTGAAATCAAATACAACTATGCAGTCATTGTTATGGTGTACTGATAACCATGGACAGCACTAGATGCTTTTTGCTGTGAACTTTTACAACTCTAGTGGAAAAGTATCACACAGCACGTGATCCATAATGAAAATAAGTGTGTGGGGGGAAGCTACTCAGAAACAACAAAGAGGGGAATGGAGGAAAAATAAGAACCAAGATACGTTATGTAAAAGGCACAAGAGCCCAATGATGAATGTAACTGTATTGTATATCTAAAATGTACCAATAAAAATATATTAAAAAAGAATAAGCAGAAGCACAGAGGTGAGAAAATACCATGTCAGATTCTTTTGGGTGTTATTTGATTATTTTCTCTCATTTTAAGGCCTGTGGAAAAATCCCACTATACATGAAGAAGATCTCACGATGCATTTACTGTGTAGTGATTTGATCCTTCCCTCCACACGCTGCTTCCCATGTCTTACTTTTTTGGTACCAGGATCAAATTCAGGACCTTGAGCTTGCAAGGCAGGAGTGGTGCCACTGAGCTAAACCCCTGGCCCCCATGTCTCTTATTCTTGATTGAAATAATAATAGCATCCTGTAATGGACTAGTAGCCCTGGGATGAGTACTTTCTATATACTTTTTTTCCTCATTTGAGAATTAAAAAAAACCCTACATGAGTACTAATGTTTTCATTTTTATTTTATAGTTGATGAATCTGAGGCAGAGAGAGGCCAAGTAACTTGCTTGGAAGTATATGCTACTGGGCAATAGCTGATATTCAACCTGATTTAATAATTTTTTTCTCTTGCAAAAAGAAAAAAAAAACTCTTGTCCTGCAATTGCAGTCCCACAGGCTGGTTCCTGCCAAATTTTCAACATGCCGATGTTGCATCTCTCCTGTGACCTCAAGACCTCCTGGCTTGTCCCGACTTCTAACCCTAATCCGAAGCCTGAAGCTCTAATGCTCAGGTGCTTACACAGTTCCTAACCTAACCCTAACCCTAACCCTAACCCTAACCCTAACCCAAACTCCTTTAGGGAAGAACCATCAAGTGAACCTGGTTACAGTCTATTATCCTCCAAGGCAAATAAATATATATATTAATGTCAATTTCAGTTTACCAAGTCCCCACCCCTATTTCCTTTTGGATCATATCAAGAGGAGATAACTCTTCATTTTCAACTCCCATTTCACCAATTAGCCACTTTTTAGTAATAAAAAAGTACCATGAGAAAAAACACAAAATGATAATGAAAAGAATTTCTATCAGATTCCAGAGTCAAGGGAGTAGAGTGTATACACAAAAGGACCATGTTAAAAAAATCTCAAGTTCTCCTGGCCATCTGTTGTTTCAGCTGCTGTTAGGGCTGGGGTTGTTTGGATAAGGTCAGCACAGTGGCAGGTGCAGGAGTGATGCACAGAGAAGCTCTCCTGACTTTCAATGCAACAGTGAGTTCTAGTTTATGAGCAATGAAGGATTCTAGCAGGGAACATAAGCTTGCTGAGAGTGTTAGACATATTACTCCCAAAGGGAGTTTGTTTTACCAGCATGGGAGCAGCTACTGATATTGGGGGTATATCAGAAGTCTCTGGAGGTTCTGTTAGTGTTCCCCTGACAAAGACTAAGTGGTGAATACATGAAAATTTTGAGATATTGTATTTATAAATGATGGTTCTGTTGTGAACCTCTGTGAATTTACCGATAGAATCAAATGTTTCACAGTTTTAGCTTATTAGCTATTTTATGCACCTTCTGAATAATCAGTATATAATTTTGCTTTTGATTCTTGTAAAAGTAGAGTGGGGTGGCACCGAGAGTGGTATTCCTGGGGGATATATGAAGGCACAAGATGAATGTGATATGCATTATATAAGATATTCATTTTGTTCTAAAATATGCTTTATAGTAAAAGACTATGGCCATGTTTTAGAACAATAGAGGAAATTTGCTTCAGCCCACATGCCAGGCCACCTCGGACAGGTGGTTGCTGTCTGTGCAGATAGGTTACTTCTGCAGAAGACTGTGTCAGTGGGAAAAGTACATTGTACATCACTTTTTATTCTTGGGTTGTGTCACAGATGATTTGTGGCTGGGAATATTTAAGGTAGTGGGTTAATTTTTGTGAATGTTTTTATTCTCCTCCCTAGAGTTTTTCCTTCCTCTGTTCTCTCTCTCTCTCTCTTTCTCTCTCTCTCTCTCTC